AAGTGCATTCGCTCAGTACATTATTGATGCTATTGTTATGGGAAGTAATATGGAACATAGAAAGCAATTATTGAATGAGCTTATTGAAACAGACTCCATTCAAAGGCTATTGACATTGAATCAATCATGTAGAGTTTTAGAAAAATTTGTTAAATATTCTAAAACTTGAACAATACTACTTAAGAAACTATCAAAAATAGACTATGTCAATTTGAGTAAGGACACTCATGGAGCTTGCTTTATTACTCAAAAGAGGTTGATGTAAAGGTCACTTTTACAAGATAGATAGCTACTTTCTTCATGAAGCAAATCCTACCTATAATGTCAAGTATTTGGATTTAGTAGTTCAAGAATTGAAAGGCTCTCTAGTTTTACTCTCCTATCAAAGATATTCATCCAGGTAATTGAGTATGTGTTGAATATGATTGTTCATTAGGTTAAAAAGGGAGTTGCTTTATCATTCTCCCTCGATGAATTATTGAATGAATTCAGCAAACCTACAGTTTAATGAAATACATTTGGCAACAGGCCATGCAATTGGCATTGGAGTGGGTTATCATTCAATTCCTCGTTAGTACTCCAGAAACCAGAAAGCCAAGGATGATTCTCAGAAACAGAAGATAGTTTAAAAGAATCCAATAGCAATAACTTTTTCATGTTGATCAATAGTGAGCAGGGAACCTCTTATGGAATTGGTAAAACAAAGTGATACCAATCAGAAATGCTCTCTTTATAGTGGTGAAATCCTACTGATCAAAAATCCTATCATGGATGACAATTACTCAAATTTTCTACACCGTACGATGATTCATGTTTCCTGGGGACGGAGTGTTGCTTTTAATGGGATTCATCATCCCACCTCTGATGAGAATGTTTATACTGGCTGGCGTTTTTACACACGCTACTGATGGAATTGTTAAGAAGAAGAAAAATAATGTTTCCACCTCCAATGAAGCATCAACTACACAAAATCCAGAAGAAACCAAGTCAATTTGGATGAAGATGTGAAATTTCACTTAAAATCTGGTAATTTGTGTTCCCTATGTTTTAGTGTCATCATTAAGCTAACTAGGCTAGGAGAATGCAGGAGGGAAAAAATTAGTCTCTGATGAACGTCTCATCTCCCCTTCCTAATCATGATTAAAAAGGTTGATTGTTGTAAGAGAATGACATCTTCACACATTCTGGTGGATTCTGAGGATTTTCTGATAAGAAGTGAAAGTAACACACTTCAACAATTAAGATCTCATTGTCATGGATGAGCATTATGATGAAACTGATGAATCTGTAATTGTTCTACAACTACCATGACTAGTACAAACTTTTGAATTGTTGTTGCAGGTTTATTTAACAAACAAACCCTCCAACATTTTGCTGGCTATACAATATGTTTCAACATTTCTACATTACCATCCGATGTTTGCTTTGACAATGGTACCTGA